ATATGGCGGGAGCAGGAGACCATATCACGTGTTGGTGCGCACTCGCTGTTTGAGAGCTATTGCGCGCCCCGGTCTCCAAGGCTCCCCTCGGATACTAGGTGGCTCAGATACTCAGGACCTGGGCCTTCGGCTGATGCTGTGCAATGCCAGGTCCGTGGTAAATAAGGCCCCCCTCATTCACGATCTTATACAGGAGGGGGGAGCGGACCTGGCGGGTATTACGGAGACCTGGTTGGGCCCAGAGGGAGGGGTCCCTCTGGTTGAGATGTGCCCACCAGGCTTCAGAGCATTCCATCAGCTGAGGGCCCAGGGGAGGGGCGGGGGAGTGGCGGTTATTATTAACGAAGGTCTTAGTCCGAGGGAGACCACTGTGCCACAGATTGCCGGATGTGAATCCCTCTTTGTGAGATGGGGTCATGGGGTTCAGATGGGCTTGTTGCTTGCGTACCTGGCTCCCTGCCGCGCGGCAATGGCCCTGCCCGAGCTCCTCGACGTGATAGCCATGGTGGCAGTTGATACACCCAGGCTTATGGTCATGGGTGATTTCAACTTGCCGTCCATCGGTGAAACGTCTGAGACGGCTCGGGAGTTCATGGCTTCCATGACAGCCATGGACCTGACCCAACTAGTTCATGGCCCCACCCACAGGGGGGGGACACACTCTGGACTTGATTTTTGTCTCTGGCCAGTGGTTGAGTGATCTTATTATAGGGGATATAGACATGGAACCCTTGTCATGGTCAGATCACTCGCTCCTTTGCCTGGACCTTCGAACCGCTACACCCCACCGCAGGGAGGCGGAGCCAATAAGATGGGTCCGCCCCAGGCGCCTGATGGATCCTGATAGGTTCCAGATGGAGCTTGGGCCATTTCCTGAGGATCTAGCACATGACTCGGCTGAGGACCTGGTAGCCGCCTGAGATCGGGCAGCTGGTGGGGCCTTGGACCAAGTCGTGCCTTTGCAGCCTCTGACCCGGTAGCGATCCCGCGCAGCTCCTTGGTTTACTGAGGAGCTGAGGGAAATGAGGCGCCGGAAAAGACGCCTGGAGAGCGGTTGGAGGGCCAGTCTCGCTGAATCTGATCAAACACTGGTAAGGTCGCATATTAAGACCTACCTAGTGGCGATAAAGACGGCAAACTTTAATTACTTTTCTGCCTCTATTGCGTCATCAGGGAATCGTCTGGCCGCCCTGTTTAGGGTGACCCGCTCCCTGCTCCATCCGGGAGTGCGGGAGGATCCCCTGGAAGGCAGGGCGGAGGATTTCGGACAATACCTGTATGACAAAATCGCTCAGATCCGGGGGGATTTGGACTCTGACTGGGTAGATCAGGGCAGGGTGACAAGGAATAGTCTTGAGAATGTTATCTGGGAGGAGTTTGATGCTGTGACTCCCGATGATGTGGACAGGACTTTGGGGAGACTTAGTACGGCCACATGACCGTGTCCCTCCTGGTTGGTACTGGCTTCCCGGGAGGTTACACGAGGCTGGCTCCAGGGTGTTATCAACGCTTCGTTGAGTGAGGGTTACTTCCCCGCTGCCTTGAAAGAGGCGGTGGTGAGGCCTCTCCTCAAGAAGCCGTCCCTGGATCCGGCAATATTGGCCAACTATTGTCCTGTCTCCAACCTTCGCTTCATGGCGAAGGTTGTTGAGAGTGTGGTCGCGCGACAGTTTCCACAATTCCTGGAGGAAACATCTTACTAGATCCGTTCCAGTCGGGTTTCAGGTCTGGGCACAGCACGGAAATGGCATTGGTCGCGTTGGTTGATGATCTCTGGAGGGCTCGGGACAGGGGTTGCTCCTCTGTTCTGGTCCTGTTAGATCTCTCAGCGGCTTTTGATACCATCGACCATGGTATCATGCTGCACCGGCAGAAAGAGTTGGGGGTGGGAGGCACCGTATTGCGGTGGTTCTCCTCCTTTCTCTCCGACCGGTCGCAGTTTGTGTTGGCAGGGGGGCAGAGGTCGACCTCGAGGCCTCTCGTCTGTGGAGTGCCGCAGGGATCGGTCCTCTCTCCCCTTCTGTTCAACATTTATGTGAAGCCGCTGGGCGAGATCATCCGTGGCTTCGGGGTGAGATACCGTCAGTATGCTGATGACACCCAGCTGTACATCTACACCCCAGGCCACCCCAACGATGCCCTTGAAGTGATTTCTCAGTGCCTGGAGGCTGTGCGGATCTGGATGGGGAGGAACAGGCTCAGGCTCAACCCTTCCAAGACTGAGTGGCTGTGGCTCCCGGCATCCCAATATAGTCAGTTGACTCCATCACTGACTATTGGGGGCGAGTCCTTGGCCCCCACAGAAAGGGCTCGCAATCTGGGAGTCCTCCTGGATATGCAGCTGTCCTTGGAGGAACATCTGACGGCTGTAACCAGGGGGACCTTTTATCAGGTTCGCCTGATTTGCCAGTTGCAGCCCTTTCTTGATTGGGATTCCCTGTGCACAGTCACTCACGCCCTCGTCACCTCTCGCCTTGACTACTGCAATACTCTCTACATGGGGCTCCCCTTGAGGGGCACCCGGAGGCTCCAGCTGGTCCAGAAAGCAGCAGCGCAGGTAGTGATGGGAGCAGCATGGCGCTCCCATGTAACACCGCTCCTGCGCGAGCTGCACTGGCTCCCGGTGGTCTTCCGGGTGCGCTACAAGGTGTTGGTTATCACCTTTAAAGCGCTCCATGGCATAGGGCCTAGCTATCTTCGAGACCGCCTGCTGCTACCGACGACCTCCCAGCGACCCGTGCACTCCCACAGAGAGGGCCTCCTCAGGGTGCCATCAGCCAAACAATGTAGGCTGACCCCCAGGGGGAGAGCCTTCTCTCTGGGGGCACCTATCCTCTGGAATCAGCTGCCCCCAGAGATAAGGAGAATCCAAGACCTCAGTGCCTTCCGCCGTGCCCTTAAAACCCACTTTTTCCAGCAAGCCGGGCTGGCTTAGGAAGAAATTTTTTAAAAATTTTTAAATGTTTAATTGGTTTGTGGTTTTTTAAATTTTGGGCCAAATTTATATAGATTTTAATTGTTTTTAATATTTGTATTTCATGTTTTTAATTCTGGCTGTGCACCGCCCTGAGTCCTCAGGGAGAAGGGCGGTATATAAATTGAAAAATAAAATAAAATAAAAATAAAATCTCATGGTCTAGCGCCCCCATCATTTCGGATGTGGGAGAGTTACTCATTCCCTCTGAAAAGGCTCACAATCTAGGCGTCCTCCTGGATTCGCGGCTGTCCTTGGTCGACCATCTGACAGCCGTGACAAGGGGGGCTTTTGCACAGGTTCACCTGGTGCGCCAGTTGCGCCCTTTCCTAGACAGGGATGCCCTCCATATAGTCACCCATGCTCTCGTCATCTCTCGTTTGGATTACTACAATGCCCTCTACATGGGGCTGCCCTTGTGGTGCACCCGGAGGCTCCAACTGCTCCAGAATGTGGCCGCGCGGGTTGTTACGGGGGCTTCCCGTTACTCCCGTATTACACCTCTCCTGCGCGAGCTGCACTGGTTACCGGTGGTCCTTCAAGGTGCTGGTACTTACCTATAAAGCCCTTCATGGCATGGGCCCGGGGTACTTGCAGGATCACCTTCAGCCTGCCTCCAACCGCCCAGTGTGCTCACATAGGATTGCCTTCCTCCGGGTGCCATCGGCCAGACAATGTCGGCTGATGGCGCCCAGGATGAGGGCGTTCTCTGTGGGCAAACCGACCCTCTGGAATGGTTTACCCACTGGGCTCCAGATGGCCCCCGACCTCCGGTCTTTCCGCGGTGACCTGAAGACATGGCTTTTCCAACAAATTTGCTGATCTGATGGGAGTTTTTAACTTTAATCCTTTGGGAATTTTAATTGAGTATTTTAGTCGTAATTTTACTGTTTTATTGTTTTATCTTTGTGAGCCGCCCCGAGTCCTTCGGGAGAAGGGTGGCATATAAGTATAACTAAACTAAACTAAACTAAACTAAACTAAACTAAACTAAACTAAACTAAACTAAACTAAACTAAACTAAACTAAACTAAACTAAACTACTACCACTGAGGCCACCAGTAGCTCACAGAGGTCCATTAGGCCATTGCAATCGCCACCTGGAGTACCAGCACAAAGGAAGCGAAGCAGCCAGCTAGAAAGCCCAAGTACAGGTGATAAAGCACACCCAGACCCAGCAGGTAAGAGGAAGCCACTCCGAGCAGGAAAAGCTGGATCCCCATCAGTGCCATGTTCACCCAGGCCCAGCCAGGATCTCATGCCTCTCCCCATCTCTGCTGGGCGTGGGTGTGGCACCTCTGCATGGTGCTGATAGGGATCTGGCTTTCCCTGCTCGCAGTGGTGTCTTTTGCCTGCTGGGCCTGGGCATGCTATACCACCTCTATTCAGCCTTTCTAGCTGGCTGCTTCACCTCCTTCTGACTGGGTGGATCTGCTGAGTGGTGGCGGCGGCAGTCCGTAGCGGGACCAAGGTGCATCTGGTGCACCAGGGGAATACATTCCATGTGCAGGCCAATGGTAAGACCTGCAAGGGGTCCGAGGAGATGACCAGCAGTGGCCTGTTCTCCAACCGCAAGCAAAAAAAAATGAGACAGAGTAAGCACATCCTGCAATCCACATCATGTGCCTCCCCATCTGCTGCTTCCATTGCTGCACTTGCTGCTTGGACAGCCAGCCCGGTGGTGGCAGCAGGCTCCAGAGCTGCAGAGTGTGCCAGCTAAGGGAAAGAGCGGCGAGCGTGAAAAAGCACCTTTGGGACAACCATGACTTGGATGACTGAGAATCTCTACAGACTCCTGTTAAGTATCAGTTTATCCTGAAATGTAAAGTACTTTTTGTAGGTAAAAGATACCACATACAAAGGAGCATTTTAGACCCAAAGTATTAGGGATAACTTTTATAATAACTTTCATATATATTAACTTATGCAAGGGTATTTTTAAACACTGGTTATATTATTTCCAGAAAAATAATGTATTAAATATAGTACTAAAATAATGAATCCAAGTTTGCTTAGGTAGACATACCAACATTAACAATAGCACCACCTTGCTGTTGAATCATACTCTTTACAGCAGCTTTACATGTCAACATGGTTCCCAAAAGATTGGTCTGAAATTGGGATATCATATCTTCAGACTTGGTTCGCAATAGTAGTCCATCCCTGGAATCAAGAAAAAAACTCAGTTGTATTTAATTGATTATAGTTGGTCAATTCTGAATTTATTCTAATAATTTCATTATGAAGTTGTGTAGCTAAACTCAACTTACTATATTTATTAAAAGAATGTTGCTGATTAAGAATTAACTATCACTTTGTATGTTTCCATATTTTAGCTACAGATTTTTGCTTAAACTATCATACGGTAACTGCAATATATTTGAAGTTCTGAAGACTTACAGAAGTTTAGATATCTTTTAATATGAAACTGATCTACAGAAAACTCTATATAATTCTATTTAGCATGTTAACAGTTTATAGATTCAAGGAAATTAAAAGGATATGTCAAGATTATGTTTTGATCTTCCTGCGTTCAGTTAAGTCAGGTGTGCTGTGAAACAATACAGTCATGTGGCTAATTCTGGATCTATGGATGTGAACAGGGCTATGACTCAGTGGTGGGTTTCAAAAATTTTTACTATTGGTTCTGTGGGTGTGGCTTGTTTGTGGGTGTGGCTTGGTGGCCATGTGACTGTGGGCATGGCTTGGTGGCCATGTGACTGTGTGGGCGTGGCTTGGTGGCCATGTGACTGGGGGCGTGGCCAACTTGATGTCACTCACATCAAGAGTTAGGGTTAGGGTGCCTGGCCTTTCCTCGCCTCAAAGGTTTCAAGACCTTTGGCTGGAAGTTTGGCTGGAACTGGAGTATGGAAAAGGGCCTAGGACAGTGATGGCTAACCTTTTTGCCATCGCATGCCAGGAGCGGGGGGAGCGCGGGGGAGGGTGTCGCACGCGTGCCCATACCCATAATTCTATGCACCCCGCCCCCGTGCATGTGCACGCAACCCCCCTGCTCCTGGCACGCGATGGCCCAGTGGGCCCATTTTTCTCTCTCTCCAGGCTCCAGAGCCTTTCTAGGAGTCTGGGGAGGGCGTAAACAGCCTTCCGCCCCCCCAAGGAGCCTTCCGGAGGCTGAAAACAGCCTGTTTGCCAACGTCCGGTGGGACCGGAAGGCCTGTTTTTTGCTCTCCCCAGGCTCCAGAACCTTTCTGGGGAGGGCGAAAACAGCCTTCCCCACACCCCCGGAGTCTCTCTGGAGGCCGAAAACAGCCCTTTTGCCAACTTCCAGTCCCACTGGAGCTGAGCTCGCGTGCCCACCAATATGGCTACACGTGCCACCTGTGGCACGCGTGCCATAGGTTCCCCATCATGGACCTAGGAGGTCCTGGAGGTTAAATGATAATTTGTTTAGATATGAAGAAAATGTAAAAGAGTGTAAAAAATTTATGAAAGAATTTTTTGTTATGAATATGCAAAAGGGTACATCTATGGAAATGGTATGGGATGCAAGTAAAGCATATATGCGAGGCATTTTGATATATTTGAATAATAAATATAGAAAGAAACAGGGGGGGAAAAGAAAAGAATTAGAAGAAGAAATTAGAAAACAGGAACGAGCTTTGATAACTAAACCAACAGATAAGAAAATTAAAGAGGCAATTAATTTACTGAAAGATCAATTTAATATGTTAATAGCAGATCAAGTGGCAACTAACTTACAATATGCTAAACATAATACTTTCTGTAACGCTAATAAACCAGGTAGGTGATTAGCATATATGTTAAGGAAAAAGCAGAAATCAAGGACTATAGAGAAAATAAAATACAAGGGTAAAGAGGTTTATGAGCAAGAATTGATTAAAAAATCTTTTTTAGAGTTTTATTCAAGGCTGTATGTCGGTGATAAAATTCAAGATATAGATATAGATAGATATTTACAGAAAGAAAACATTTACATAACTTCAAAAGAGCAGAGGGATAGTTTAAATCAATTGATAACTTGCAAGGAAATTTTGTTTGCAATTAAGCAGTTGAAAGTGGGTAAAGCTCCTGGGACGGATGGTTTGACAGCTGTTTATTGTAAAAGCTTACAGGAGGAAATGGTGGAACCACTGAAGGAATTATTCAATAATATACAACAGGGAGGAAAGGTACCTCCAACTTGGAAGACAGCTTTTATTTCTTTGATCCCAAAAGAAGGTCAAGATCATACAGATCCAAAAAACTATAGGCCGATTTCACTTCTAAATACAGATTATAAGATGTTTGCTAAAATCTTAGCAAATAGATTAATGACAGTTATGCAGCAAATGATTCATCACGATCAAACTGGTTTTATAAATGGTAGGCAAATGAAAAGTAATGTAAGGCAAATTGTTAACTTACTAGAGTATTTGGGAAGGAACAACCAGGTCCCCGCAGTGCTAGTATTTCTGGATGCTGAGAAAGCCTTTGATAGATTGAATTGGCATTTTTTATTAAAATTAATAGAAAGGATGCAACTTGGAGAACATTTTATACAATCTATTAAGGCAATATATCAAAAACAAACTGCACAAATAATAATCAATGGTGGTTTAACAGATATTTTTAGTATAGAAAAAGGAACAAGGCAGGGTTATCCCCTGTCTCCATTATTGTTTATTTTGATGCTGGAAATCCTACTGAGTAAAATACGTGGGATGGATACAATAAAGGGAATTAAAATTAGACAGCAGGAGTATAAGCTATGGGCATTTGTGGATGACCTGGTTGTTACCTTAGCCCAACCAGTACAATCGATTACAGCCTTGATGGATATAATTAACTTGTATGGACAAGTATCTGGTTTTCAAATAAATACAGCTAAAACAAAGATAATAGCTAAAAATATGACTAGAAGCCAAAAAGAAGAGATAGAAAGGGTAACAGGATTTGAGATAGTTAAGAAGGTTAAATATTTAGGGGTTTATATTATGACCACAAATATGAAATTATATCAGCACAACTATGAACCGTTATGGCAAAAAATACAGAAAGAGATGGAAAATTGGAAAAAACTACAACTGTCTTTGCTGGGAAGGATAGCCGCAGTAAAAATGAATGTTTTACCAAGGTTTTTATTTCTTTTTCAAATGATACCTATACTTAAAAAAGATGAAAATTTGAAGGAATGGCAGAAGGGCATAAATAAATTTGTTTGGGCAGGGAAAAAACCGAGAGTAAATCAAAAGATAATGCAAGATACACGAGAAAGAGGGGGTCTTAAAATGCCCAATTTAAGATTGTACTACGAAGCCGCTGCCCTCTCAGCAATTACTGATTGGATAAACTTAACGGAGGAAAGGATATTAAATATTGAAGGATATGGTCTGGTCTACGGCTGGCATGCTTATTTATTGTATGATAAGAAAGTAGATAAGACTTTTAAAGTCATATATTAAGAAATGCTCTATTGCGTGTCTGGAAAAAGTATCAATATAAATGATAAGTTACCAATATGGACAGTACCCAGACATGCGATAGAGAATATAAATTTGGAGCAAAAGCAAGATAAGACTACATACAAGGAACTCCTTTATAAAGAAGGAGTTAGATTACAATTAAAACCTATGGAGCAATTAAGAGAAGAAGGAATAATTAGAACTTGGTTTCAGTATGGGCAGCTGCTGGCCAGATGGAGAGAAGATCAAAAAATTGGTATTTTGCAACAGGATGAGAATTTGATAAAACAAATAAGAGACAAAAGTCAAATGCATATAAAAAGATTGTATAATGTGTTAGTGGAAATAGATTCAGAAACAGAGCTAGTTAAGGACTGTATGATAAAATGGGCACAAAATATAGGTGAACCAATAATGATGGAAACATGGGAAAAGATTTGGGTTTGAAATGTAAGATTTACACAAGCCCAAAACTTAAGAGAGAACTTTTATAAAATATTTTATAGATGGCATTTAGATCAAAAAAAACCTAGCCTGTATGTACCCAAACTTACAACCTAAGTGTTGGCGATGTGAATGTGAAGATGCTACGTATTTTCATATATGGTAGACATGTAAAAAAATTAAGGCTTTTTGGATAAAAATATGGTGGATTATTCAAAATATTTTAAAGAAAAAGATTAAATTTACACCACAGTTTTTTTTGTTGGGAATAGTTACGGACTGTACTGTAATAGAAACTAAGTTGGTTTTGAATTTAATAACAGCTGCCAGGTTACTGGTGGCACAGTATTGGAAGAAGGAAGATCCACCTACTATTGAGGAATGGACACTAAAAGTCGTGCATTTGGCAGAGATGGCAAAAATTTCATCTTATCTTAAAGACCATTCAAACGAAAGTTACATATCAGAATGGAGAAGATGGATTGACTATATTCAAAACAAATATCAGACTAAGAAGATTCATATAGCTTATGAGTGAAACATTTTCAATTTTTAGCTTATGTTTATAGTGTTTTGAGCTATAAGGAGTTAAAGACCTAGAAAGAATTTGAAGTCAACAATCTGTTAGCATATTTTAGTTTTATGTTTGTGTATGCTATACCCTGTGCTTGTTCTGGGAAGTCTAGGGAGGGGGGTGGGGGATGGGTGGGAGGGCAAGGAGGGAGGGATGGGGTGAGGGGGGAAGGGCGGGGGGGGAGAAAATGTTTGTATTTCCTATAAAACTTTTCAATTAAAAAAAAAAGGTTTCAAAGAGATACAATTTCTCTGTCTATTTATTTACTACTACTGAACATCCAAAATATACTATTTAATCCTATGTATATATGCCATATGTGTACATACATATTACATAGTATAGAGTATGTATAGGCACACAAAAAGATACATTATCTAGTATATATACTGTATGTATATGTACAAACACACACACACCTCTTCTAAAACTATACACATTCAACCTCACTTACTACATTTGGAAAAACACACCCTGAGTCCACTTTCTGCCACACATTTAACTATAACTTCTGTACATTAGAACATTACACATGCCTTCAGATGTTCTTCCCTAGCTTGCACATGACTGTTAGAGCCATGGACTGTTAGAACCATGGACAGGAGAGGTAATGGATTGAGTAAAATGTGTTGAAACTCACTTAACAACGTTCTTGCTTAGGAACCAAAATTTTGGGCTCAATTGTGGTCATCAGTCAAGAACCATCTTTGCCTTCCTCTGCA